TAGATGTACTTTTATCATTTTAAATTTGAATCTAAGTACAAGCAATATCGGGCAAGGAAGATATATGTAATAGAAGAATTCATTACAGCTTGAAGAAGGGATGGCCAAATCAGCAGGATTCCAATTAGTGACAGTTTCTATTATTCAGGATACAAATGCATGAATTAAAGCCGTGCCTTTTCCATGGTGAGAAAAGGGTCAATTTGGAGAGAAAGCATTTGATGAAGGTTGTAATAGCTATAGCACCAACACAACACTGGTACTCTTCATCTCACTAAAGTTAGCCAAACCTCTAACTTACTGTTAAACAGACTTTTAGTATACAAAAAGAGGGGAAATGACCAATCAGGCATATCTATCATGGACTGATTGTTCAGAACAATGAGACACCAACAAGTAGCTGTGGAAAAACTAGATGAACTCATGAACAGGCCCCAGCAATATTATATTAAAGGGCACCTGTCATCATGCCCCAAATAACTTGATTGAGCATAAAATTCCATCTATACATTGTGTGAGCAGTTTTGCAAGTAAATGTATAGATTAGGAGACAAATCTAATTAAAAATAGTTTTTTCTCCCAGCTGTCCATCATTGCCTTGGCATTGACTGACAAAGGAGAGCAGAAAGAACCTCACAGTAGGATAGTCCAGAAGGTGGGTGTTTAAGAGTAACCCAAATCTTTATATTTTACATCGACTACACCGTGAAATAAGTTTTATGTAAGTAAAATTTTCCATCACAGGTTCACGCTAAACTATGGTGGCAGCTGTGTACCTGGTACCAGAGATAGTCGTGCCCTTGTGGCATGAAGGTCCTTTTAATGCACACTCCCCAACACCTTTTTGTTATGGTCAAAAGAGATCCTGCCAGACACCTTTCTAGGAGCAGGAATTCAATTTAATGTGTCCACTCCACCCACAGGCTGGAATATATCTATCTATATCTATCTATCTCGAATTTTGACCAAAGGGAGTTTCTGAACTGGTACATTTGAATGAGGTCAGCTGTAACCCAGGGCAGGTGTGTCCTTTTTAGTCGCACTTCACGCTGAGGGGCATGCAAATTTGAAATACGCAAGAGCTCGGACTGAAAAATATACGATTGCAGAGTCTAGATCTGGTATTAGGCCTAATCTGAGCCATGGTATGTTCTTGAAATCATTTATATAAAAAAAAAAAAAAAAAAGATTCAATATTAGATTTTTTTGAAAGACCTGGTGATTATAGTCTTGGGAGGGGATTTAGTGGCCTTTCTTTTGCGTATGCAGTACACTAGACAGTGGTCACGGAAACTGTTAGGGAGAACGCCCGCCTCCTGGATTCTGTTAGGACAACTGGAGAGAATCCAATTTAGCAAGGTATGGTTCTGGTTTTTAATATTAATGCGAGTTGGGGAGGAAATTGTGTTAGCGGCAAAGTCTTAAACAGCGTACATGATTGTTATTTTTAGGATTCAGCTAATCAATATTAAAATCTCCAAAAACCAGCAGTTCACTTTTTTGGTTTTGAGCTACATTTTCTTAGTAGTTGGGCAGAAATGGAGTGCACCGGAGAGCTGGTTATTCCAGCAACAATGAGTTTTACTGAAAGGGATCTTAATTGTGCCAGAAAGGAAATAAAATAAAAAAAGTTTATTCTAAGTGTATTTTGATATAATTTATTTTTATTATTTTCAAAAAAAATTTTTATTGATTTTTAATGACATTTTTTATAATATAGATATATACACACACATTACATATTATATATACACATGTGCAATTTTACGCTGTGTTTTTAGATTAATAAAAAAAAAAATACACTTAGTATGACGTATATAGAAATATATATATACACACACTTTAATTTTTTATTTTACAGATGATGCCTATTGCGGCCATGTGACTGCTCTTTCAGAGCGATCACATGGCCCGCGGGGGCCTAATTTGCTGCGGGGGGGTGGGGGGAATCCTGTCTGGGCTGTCAGGTAGTCCCCCCAGACCGGGAGCAACTGCGATCCTACAATAAAATAAATTTTTGCATGACCGGTCATATTTTCAAAAATCAATGACAATTTTTTTACAATTCCTGCTAGGGTATGCAAACTTGAGCACAACTAAACACACACTTTATACACACACACACACACCATTAACAGGTTTTCCACTAAAAAGAACGTAAAAATGTAAAATGATGCTGGTTCTCGGTTAGAATGTATGAGTGGGTAGAATGCTTGGAAGGACAAGATGCACCAAAAACTAAAAAAAATAGCATTAAACAACACATGTTCCTTTTAGAGCTCAATTTTTATTTTTATTTTTTTTATGTTCAAAAAGACGTACATGCATCAGAAGATGCTGAATTTAACAATATTATGCATACTATTCACTCCTATTGACACCCAGCCAGACCTGGGGAAGTGGGGGGGAGAGGGGGGAGAAGAGGTCAGACTTAAAAGGTTCACCATAAGTAGTGTGAATTTCCTCTCAGCTGCATGTTCTGATTGATAAATGGTTCTTCACATAAAAATTAGAACAAAACAAAATATATAAACGCTTAGTTTTGGGTGTGAAAACGTAAGGCAGGAAAAGAAAATTTGACACTGCACAAAAATCAACAGATGAACAGGAAACCAAGAACAATAAATAACAGGAACTGTCTAATGCCAAAAATCACAGTTGAAGACGGCATTAATAAAGCAAACTATCATAAGACTTGATGCAAAAACAACTGACCGGAACATACTTAACTTCTAATCACAACCGAAGCAGCTTAGTGAAACAAAAAGGTGAACAGAGAATAACCTATAGTAAAATCTGGTCTGCCTAGTGCAACACATAGGGATGAGGGAGTCCGACTCAGAGTGGATAGCTCAATACTGAACCAGGACAGGGATACACCCAAACCTGTCCAAAGGAATAAAAGACAGTAATACCTTCAAGGTAGTGAGTTCAGGAGCTAGTTCACTATAATATGGCTTGGTTGACAATATAATAGTTGTATCCGTTTCTAGGATAACCAGTATTGACGGAAAAAATATGTATGGTGTGTATACCTTTAAATCTGCTAAAGGCAGATTTTGTCTGTTACACACCAAGATACTCTGCTTAAGAGAATAACTTAAGAGAATAACCTATACATAGAGCCTACTATCTATATACCAACCAATATTTAGTAGTTATTATACAGACATATTACAATTTACAAGCCACACTCCCTAAAATGTGTCAGTTATTCAGGTCAACTGCTCCTGGAAGTTTGCAATTCATAGCAGACAGAGGCTACATGTTTGAATACAAAGCAGCAAACTAGAAAACCAATCACCCCTTTAAATGAGTCAGTTTGTAATATTTTATCACTTATGTATAGAGTTGAGCGAACCCGGACTATAACACAGACATATCACTGTATGTTCAGGTTGGAGTTGGGCGATTTAACGGCGCGTTTTGAAAGGCTACAGGGCAGCCAATCAACAAGCGTTTGACTCGTGTGCCCTTAGAAGCCATCACAGCCATGCCTACTAATGGCATGGCTGTGATTGGCCAGTGCAGCATGTGACCCAGCCTCTATATATATATAAGTTGGAGTCGCATAGCGCTGCACGCACATGAGCTCTTATTAGTGTAGGGAGAGGCTGCTGCCGCTATCAGGCACAGATTAGGAAAGCATTCTGGAAACTAGTACATTAGTGGGGTGCACTTCATTTCTGAGAGTCAAATAGAAGTGTCAAATACTGCGCTTATAGCGCAGTTGTAAAAATTCTAGTTGTTTTGCTGCTAAACAGTACATATTGGGCGTGCTCTTTATATCGGAGAGTCAAATAGAAGCGTCAAATAGTGTGGTTACAGCGCAGTTGTAAACATTCTTATTTTCTGGGTGCTAATCTGCTAAATAGTACATATTGGGAGTGCTCTTCATATCTGAGAATCAAATATAAGCGTCAAATAGTGCTGTGACATAGCATTTTTAAACATTCAAATTTTTTGGCTGCTAAATAGCACATTTGCGGCCTGCGGTGCACTTCATATCTGAGAGTCAAATAGAAGCGTCAAATAGTGCGCTTACAGCGCAATTGTAAACACTTATTATTGACAGTCAAATAGAACCATCAAATACCAACATAATATTGTAATTACGGGGCAATACCCTCACAAGTCAAACCGAGATGTCAGTTTATAGGGAAAACTGTTGCCTGGATACAATTCTAAAACAATTTCCATGTCCTTTGCAGACTTTACATGCTGGAAAACCACAGGTGCCAACTGCTGTGGCTTTCTCCAGTGTGCAGACCGGCAAGGAGGGCAGGGTTGAGGAGTGGGTGGAAGATGTGGAGGATTATGAGGTCCTAGACTCCACATGGAATCAAGGTCATGCAAGTGACATGTGCAGTTTGGAGGAAGAGGCGCTGGTCGCACAGAGGCGCCAGCACAGCATAAGAGGGAGCATAAGAGGGAGCATGGTGCAAAAGCGCGGCGGCTGTCAGCATGTATTATCTTTAGAATTCCCACAGTTATCCACGAAACAGTTGAAGTGATAAAAAGAATCATAACATTTAACGAGCCATTCGCACTTTGGCAGTCCGGTGACCGGGACCCAGACACTGTCTGGGCGGCGGTCGAATGACCGGGACCCAGTATGCCTGATGTTGAAGTTAGTGTGGAATGGATTAGCAGGGTAACCGCACGCCCCCCGGTGTTGAGCACCATCGTTTGTGCAGCCACATACCAGAACCCTGATGCAGCTTCAGTAAAAGAGTACTGGATACCAGAAGTCTGTCTGCGCTGCAGCGTAACTTTGGCCTTCCCGCTTACCGCCTCATATGCGATGTGCCCACAAGGTGGAACTCCACCTTGCACATGTTGGAGAGACTGTGCGAGCAGCAGGCGATAATGGAGTTTCAGCTGCAGCATGCACGGTCAGTCGCTGTGCACCAGACTTGCCCTCCAATTCAGAGTTAAAGGATTTCAAGTGGACTCATTACAATTACAGGGCCTCTTAAGAGTCCTGTATTGTTATTTGTCGTCACTACCTTCCCGCGCCAGGAGTGGGTCATTTGTGCGCCACTGCCTTCCTTGCATGTGGTAGCAGTTTCTCAGGCTCCCTCTCCGGAATCGAACCATGATTCCCCGTTACCAGTGGTCACCATGGTAGGCGCAGTAAATGGCATCGAAAGTTAATATGGATGACATACGAATGCGTCGCCGCCTTGTTGTTGGGGAGCCCATTGAAAAAGTGCTCTAGCATGACGAGCAGAGTGATCTCCTCCGGGGCTTGATGGGAGTTCAGCCAGTTCTGGGTGGCCCTTGTGATGCAACATGCCCACTCCACATGGGAGTCCTCCCCTTTCCGGGTCTCTATACTTTCGGGGGGTATGGCTCGGGATGACCACATACCGGGCCAGGAGGATTTGGGTAATAAAGGGATAGTCTCTGATCTGCTCTTCTGGTACAGCCCGGTAAATATCCGCCGTCTTCCCCACTAGTTTGCTGGCCAGGATGGTGACCCAGTCCCTGGGGTCCATGTTTTGGAGTAGGCACTGGCACTCAAAGTCTTGTAAAAAGTCATCGATGCCTTCTTCTGCTTCCTTGAAGTCATTGTATGGTAGCTTGTGGGCCAGAGTGGTTGTGCTTCCTGCTCCCTTCATCTGAGTTCACGGAGGTCGCCCTCTGTCTATTGGCAAGGACACAGGCTTGCACCTCCAAAGAGGTCCTGCTGACAGTCTCATCTTAGGGTGGCTCTCGGTAACATGCCAGGTGCTGTTCCACCTCATCTCCGGCCCCTGGCTGGGGTTCGTTGCCTCACTGCATGCCTGGTCGTACTCCGTGAGCGCAGCAGTCAATACGGCCTTGTTACGCCCACCAGGCGTAATTCCTCTGGCTCCACACAAGTCCTGCAGTGTAGGTTGCTTTAGAGCACTGTAGTCCATGGGTCTGTTGGCAGGGACATGAGATCCCGCTGCTTGCCACCAATTGAAGCAGGACCTGGGTAACCGATGGTTATCCCCTTTGATTAGAATAGGTCAGACCCATTTCCCCAGTAACCACATGGGACACAGTTCCAGGATACAACGTTTGACAATCTTTATTTGCGTACACAGCTTTGCCTCCTCCTCTGGTCAGCATAACACCTTCACCATCAACTTCAGCACAGCCAGGGGGAAACTACAGCAGGCTGTTTTCAAACTCATATGTTTGTGGGGAAAACCCTACACCATGCAGGAGCTGTGGAGGGCATGGAACAACAGATCAATGAGTGGTTGTTGCCACTGAGCCTCAAGCCCGGCCTGGTGGTGTGCGATAATGAGCGATATCTCGTAGCAGCTCGGGGCCTAGCTGGTTTGCCGCACATCCCTTGCCTGGCGCATGTGCTAAATTTGGTGGTGCAGGAATTACTGAAAAACTACCCAGATATATCAGAGCTGCTGCAGAAAGTGCGGGCTGTCTGTGCGCGCTTTTTGCGTTCTCATCCTGCTGCTGCTCGCCCGTCTGCGCTGCAGCGTAACTTCGGCCTTCCCACTCACCGCCTCATGAGACTGTGCGAGCAGAAGCAGGCAATAGTGGAGTTTCAGATGCAGCACGCACAGGTCAATCGCTCTGCGGAACAGAGTTGTCTTTTTATATGTTCCAATATTTGGGGGGCTAACCATATACATACACACAGTTAATACAATGTTAAACAAAAATCTGCACACCAGCCAAGCCATAAGACTTGCTTTTCCCACAGAAATCCTAAATCTGCAGTGATGTTACAACCGCAAAGGATTCTGGGTGAATCACATTTTTGCCTCATTCCATTTTAAACATGGTTTACTTTTAATCTGTGTTTGCAATATACAATGGCTTGGAAAACAATTTAGGAAAAAATGCAAAACCAGTGAACCACTCACGGACAGCTGTTTCGTTGTTAATGCAACTAATCAGCAAGAGGTTGGTTACTGGCTTGCTTAAAATATATATTAAATAAATAAAAATAAATAAAAACAAACAGTGTTGGCTACCTCCTCCTCCTCCACCGCTGCTTCCACCTACACCGCCTCCTCAACCTATGGGTCACTTAGTATAAACTATGTACACAATAGCAGAGGCTTGTGAAGGCCTTTTCTCCATGCATCAGAAGTTGAGCTCCGTTTGAACAATTAAATAGAATACCCTGCACTCCAACCCTCTGAAATTGATAATTCTGGTGATCCTCCTGACAGCCATGCTTTAGATTTTGATTTATGTTCTTCCAAAACTAAAAAAAAAATATCAAAGATTCCATCTAGTACTATTTTATGGTTTAGCTGTATTTTAAAGTTATTTTAAGTGATGTCCCTATCCACATTTGTTTGCAGTGGACTTGTCCTACTCTTACCACCATTTTACAGCCCTCTAGCCCTTTCCAGGACTTCTTTAGAGGCATTTTTGTGACCAAAAGTTGGGGTCCCCATTGACTTCAATGGGGTTCAGGTTCGGTGTCAAGTTCGATCACGAACCCAGACTTTTTTTTTTTTTTTTTTTACAAAGTTCGGCTGAACCCGCCGGACCCGAACATCCAGGTGTCTGCTCAACTCTACTTATGTAGCGTCAGCAAATTCTGTAGAGCTGTCCAACGAGTGGAGTAACAGACACGTAATTGTAACCAGAAAAGGTTGATGCACAGAAACAGAGGGGTTGAGGGCCCTGCTAAACGCACTTACATGCTAGAGTGAGTGGGGTGTAGTGACACAAAAGGTAAAAGTAGGGGTAACAAAAGTAGGCGGTTAGAAAAGTATTCACTGAGGGCTTAGGAGGTTATTTTTTTTACAGTTGCAGGAGTCAGGGTATGGTGATGAAAACCTATTAACAGTTTAATACGCTTTCCTGATGAAGTAAGTTTTCAATGATTTTTTGAAAGGAGTGGAGACTGGGTGAAAGTCCAACGGAGAAGGGAAGGAAGTTCCACAGAAAAGGTGCAGCCAAGGAGAAGTCTTGAAGGCGAGCCTCAGAGGTGGGAGTACGGACAGAGGATTAACGTAGGTCTTCGGCATAGCGCAGGGGCCTAGACGGGACATACTTGTGAATTAGGGAGAACAAGTAGGTTGGAGCAGCATTATGTAAGAAATTGTGAGCACCAGAATCTTAAATTGAGCCCTATATCTTACTGGAAGCCACTTTATGGACTGGCAGAGGAAGGGAGGTGCAGGCAGACAGGAAAATGAGCCTTGTCGCCGCATTCATTATAGATTGCAGCGGTGCAATCTGGGAACACGCAAAACCACTGAGAAGGGGATTGCAGTAGTCAAGACGAGAGAGGACAGTGGCATGGACCAGCACCTGAGCATCGTCTGGTGTTAAATAGGGGCGGATGCGCGCTATGTTTTTGAGATAGAAGTGGCTGGATTTGGGGATCGACTGGACATGAGGGGTGAAGGAGAGGTCGGAGTCAAAAAGAACACCTAAGTAGCGAGTCTGCAAGGTATAGGTGATGGTAGCACTGTTGACTTTGAGGGAGGGAGACACGGGAGTAGCAACACTTGAGGGAGAATGGACCAGAAGTTATTTTTTGGACAGGTCGAGTTTAACCCCTTAAGGACCCCTTCTGGAATAAAAGGGAATCATGACATGTCACACGTCATGTGTCCTTAAGGGGTTAAGGAAGTGAGCAGCCACACAGTTGGAAGTCGCAGAGAGGCAGTCAGAGACACGAGTCAAGAGGGACCGAGAAAGATCAGGAGAGGACAGGTAGATTTGTGTGACATCTGCACAGAAATGATAATGGAAGCTAAAAAGTTGATGAGTTTACCAAGGGAGGCAGTATAGATAGAGAATAGTAGGGGACCAAGGACAGAACCTTGGGGAAAGCCAACATAGAGGGGCTGGGGAGAAGAGGCAGAGCCAGAGAAAGAAACACTGAAAGAGTGCTGGGAGAGGTAGGAGGAGCACCAGGATAGAACAGTATTACATAGACTGAGATAACAGAACGAGAAGAAGCTGTTTATGATCAGTGTCAAAGGCAGCAGAAAGATCAAGGATAATTATTGGGAGGGAGAGAGATGAGAGATCTCTTCCCCAATTGCAGAAATCTTCACAGTGAAGTGAGTTGCAAAGTTTGTAGCGGACAAAGTGGTAGGAGGAGGGAGAGCAACAGGGCGAAGAAAAGCATTAAAAGTGTGGACTAGGCATTTGGTTTGGAGGGACAGTGTACTTATGAGGGTGTTGAAATAGTTTACTTTTGCAGAGAAAAGAGCCAAACTGTAAGAGCGCAACAAATTTATAGCGGAGGAAGTCAGGTGCAAAGTGAAACGGTTACCAGCTGCATTCAGCAGTTCTGGAACATTTTTAGTGGTATCTGGTCAGCTTGGTATACCAGCGTTGTAATTGGGAGCACTGTTTAGGTGAGAGGGAAATTGTAGAGTAAGGTTGCTAAGATAGGGCAAGGGAGATTTGAGACGGGTAAGGGGAGAGCAAGGCAGTGGAAGTTTTTTGCGAGATTGGAGAGTTGAGGGTGGTGAAATGCGGGTACAGGGTATGCAGATATCAAAGGTCAGCAGATGGTGGTCAGACAAAAGGAAAATGAAGATGAAGATTAGAGGTGGTACAGAAAAAGGAGGTCAAGAGTGCTTCCTGCTGTATGAGTTGCTGAAGTGGACCACTTCGTGAGGCCAAAGGAGGAGGTTACAGAGAGCAGACGGAAGGCATCAGGGCAGATGAAGTTGTTGATTGGAATGTTAAAGATCACGAGTATGATGGAAGGAATGCAAAAGGAGAGAAAGTTGAGTATAGCTGTTTAACCCCTTAAGGACACATTGCGATCAAAACAAAACGTAAACAAAAACTTGAATTTGCACTATTAGTCTATTCAGGCGTAAATCACCTCTTTCATATTAAATGCACCCACCCTTATTATATATCATTTTATTCAGGGGAAACGGCTTTTATTTAACATCAAATATTTAGGTATAAAACAATTTAATACGAATAAAATATTTAAAAAATTGGAGAATTTTTATTAAATGTTTAGTTCTAACTGTGAATGTCATAATACTGTTTGATTTTACTGCAATAAAATACACATATTCAGTGATGTCTCACGTGTAAAACAGTACCCCCTATGTACAGGTTTTATGGTGTTTTGGGAAATTACAGGGTCAAATGTAGCGTGTTACATTTTTCAGTTTTTCCACATTGAAATTCGCCAGATTGGTAACGTTGCCTTTGAGACCGTATGGTAGCCCAGGAATGAGAATTACCCCCAAGTGGCTACTAAAAAAGACTGTACATACCCCATTTGCAATACCTTGGGTTGTCTACTTTTGAAAATGGTATGCCATCATGGG